CAGCGCTCTTAGGCTCTGGCCCATTGAAATGTCCCTGGCTTAAGGACCACCCTGTAAGGAGGGTTTGGGTCTCCTTCGCCATGCTTAGTTAGCCACAGGTCACTTTGACACGCCAGGCAAAGGACTGCCCTGTAACCAGGGTGTAAGGTCTTATCCCTCTCCTTCGTAAACTAGGAGAGCCTCTTTGTGCCTGTGGCTGAGTGACCCCCCTTTAAGAAGGGTTGAGGTTCTCGTTCTGCTGGTCACAGTAAATTGCACTCGAATGATTTCTACTTGGCTTTTCTGGGTTCTGAAGTGAAATCTGATTTGTGTCCTATGTATTTCCTGTCCGGGTCACATGTCACCTGGTGTGGCGAAGGGGCGGCTGTAAGGGGATGGTGGAGGCCGTGAAAAATTCAACCCTTTCTTCAAAAAAGCCAAGAAATCACCAAAGTCCAAAGTGAGCTCCCTCTAACTAGGGTGCAGGTCTTTCCCCAGATTACACTCCCCTTTGAAAGGTAGTTCTAGAAACCAGCCTCTTGAGAGAGTTAAGGGTTTGCCCTTGTAGCTGTCCTGTGCCCGTGGCCTCCTCACGCTCTCAGCCAAGTCAAAGCCCAGCGTATTCTGCATCCAGCCGGCTCTGAGTTCTGCTGCAAGCTCTCCTGCCTTCTGCTACGGATTGGTGCCGAAACCCAGGAATTGGGGTAATTTCAAGGAGGGGCGAGGACCTTGTCCATTTAATTTGAATTGACCTTGGAATCGTGGTCTCCACTCAGCCCGCACCTATCCCGCTTCACCTCTCTCTCTTTCCCTCTCTTTCTAGCAACTCAAAGGACAAAAGGAAGACGACGACAGAAGCACCAAAGAAACTGCAGGAAAAGAGAAGAGAAGAAAAGGCCAGTCAAAAACCACGCACACATTGCAGACGTGGCCCTCCCGGTGGCATTTACACTTGTCCACGTAGGCTTAATGCCCCCTGAGGCGCCAGGGAAAAGGACCTCTCTGTAAACGGGGATCAAGGTCCACTCCTTGCCAAGAGAAATGCTTTCTGGGCCCATTCCGCACCTGCGGCTGAGTGACCGCCCTTTAAGAAGGGTTGAGGTCTCTGTGGATTTCGGCTCTTTAGGACCGCGCCTTTAACATGCCCTGTGCCACTGACCTCTCCCTGTAAGAAGGGTGCGGGTCTCCCCTTTCGAGCTTGTCTTGGGCCGCTGGCACTTGCTGGGCAAAGAGACCACCCTCTACTGAGGGAACGGAGGTCTCTCCTCTTCAGCGCTCTTGGCTCTGGCCCATTGAAATGTCCCTGGCTTAAGGACCACCCTGTAAGGAGGGTTTGGGTCTCCTTCGCCAGCCTTATTTAGCCACAGGTCCCCTTGACATGCCCGGCAAAATGACTGCCCTGTAACCGGGGTGTAAGGTCTTATCCCTCTCGTTCGTAAACAGGAGAGCCTCTTTGTGCCTGTGGCTGAGTGACCCCCCCTCTAAGAAGGGTCGAGGTCTCGGTGGATTTCAGCTCTTTAGGACCGCGCCTTTAACATGCCCTGTGCCACTGACCTCTCCCTGTAAGAAGGGTGCGGGTCTCCCCTTTCGAGCTTGTCTTGGGCCGCTGGCACTTGCTGGGCAAAGAGACCACCCTCTACTGAGGGAACGGAGGTCTCTCCTCTTCAGCGCTCTTGGCTCTGGCCCATTGAAATGTCCCTGGCTTAAGGACCGCCCTGTAAGGAGGGTTTGGGTCTCCTTCGCCATGCTTCGTTAGCCACAGGTCACTTTGACACGCCGGGCAAAAGGACTGCCCTGTAACCAGGGTGTAAGGTCTTATCCCTCTCCTTCGTAAACTAGGAGAGCCTCTTTGTGCCTGTGGCTGAGTGACCCCCCTTTAAGAAGGGTTGAGGTTCTCGTTCTGTTAGTCGCAGTAAATTCCCCTAGAATGATTTCTGTTTGGCTTTTTTGGGCTTTGACGTGAAATCTGGTTTGTGACCCATGTATTTCTTCTCCGGGTCACATGTAACCTGGTGTGGCGAAGGGGCGGCTGTAAGGGGATGGTGGAGGCCGTGGAAAATTCGACCCTTCTTTCCCAGAGAGCCAAGAAATCGTCCCCAAATCCATATGTCACAAAGTCTGGAACTGAACAGGTGAGGAAGGGGGCTCCTTTCAGAGCCTCACTTCCAGGCGATCCTTCCTCATTTCCTCTTGCCCTGCCCAATTTACACTGCCCAGTCAACCTCAGCTTTGAGCCCTTGTTTTATTCGGCACAAGAAAGACATTGCTGGACGGACTAGTGTGAATCGTATAGAGTCGGAGAGCTCTGCAAGTTGTGTCCGAATTCCAGGCCTTTTGTTTCTTTGGTGATAGACCGAGGCTATTCCTAGGGCTATGTTTGAAGTGAGGGATGTGGCTGTCCTTTCGGAAATGTGGTGATGCTCAGCTGGTGTAGGTACGTGGAGTGGTATTCAGAGCTTGCACGTGGGTGCACCTAACCCTATTAACAGGACTGTGTCCAAGTAAGGGGTGTCCTTTTTGGTCAAGGTTAGGGGGCACAAAGTTGAAATTTTCTTGGTGGGGGAGAAAGGTAAGTCGGGAAGGGTGTTGCCGAGGGATGGAGGATTTAATGGTAATGGGAGACTCAGCGGGATTCCTCCCTCACCTGTTCATTTCCAGATGTTTTCACATGGGGGACTTCCCCCGACCCCGTGCTTCTTTAAAGGAGGAATATGTTTCTAAAGAAAGGGTGACCGCCCTGTACTCAGGGATCAGGTCTGTTTCCCTTTTCTCCTCTCTGCATTGGCCCTCTGAATGCCAAAGTCACTTGCTGGGCAAAGAGACCCCCCTCTACCGAGGGAATGGAGGTCTCTCCTTGTCCGCCCGCTTGGCTACGGCCCTCTGTCATGCCCCTGGCTTAAGGACCACCCTGTAAGGAGGGTTTGGGTCTCCTTCGCCATGCTTATGTAGCCACAGGTCACTTTGACACGCCGGGCAAAAGGACTGCCCTGTAACCAGGCTGCAAGGTCTTATCCCTCTCATTCTTAAACTAGGAGAGCCTTTCTTCTTGCCTGTGGCTGAGTGACCCCCCCTCTAAGAAGGGTCGAGGTCTCTCTGGCTCTCTCTTATTTAGGACCCAGGCTTTACAATGCCCTGTGCCATTGACCTCTCCCTGTAAGGAGGGTGCAGGTCTCCCCTTTCGAGCTTGTCTTGGGCCGCTGGCACTTGCTGGGCAAAGAGACCACCCTCTACTGAGGGAATGGAGGTCTCTCCTCGTCAGCGCTCTTAGGCTCTGGCCCATTGAAATGTCCCTGGCTTAAGGACCACCCTGTAAGGAGGGTTTGGGTCTCCTTCGCCATGCTTAGTTAGCCACAGGTCACTTTGACACGCCAGGCAAAGGACTGCCCTGTAACCAGGGTGTAAGGTCTTATCCCTCTCCTTCGTAAACTAGGAGAGCCTCTTTGTGCCTGTGGCTGAGTGACCCCCCTTTAAGAAGGGTTGAGGTTCTCGTTCTGCTGGTCACAGTAAATTGCACTCGAATGATTTCTACTTGGCTTTTCTGGGTTCTGAAGTGAAATCTGATTTGTGTCCTATGTATTTCCTGTCCGGGTCACATGTCACCTGGTGTGGCGAAGGGGCGGCTGTAAGGGGATGGTGGAGGCCGTGAAAAATTCAACCCTTTCTTCAAAAAAGCCAAGAAATCACCAAAGTCCAAAGTGAGCTCCCTCTAACTAGGGTGCAGGTCTTTCCCCAGATTACACTCCCCTTTGAAAGGTAGTTCTAGAAACCAGCCTCTTGAGAGAGTTAAGGGTTTGCCCTTGTAGCTGTCCTGTGCCCGTGGCCTCCTCACGCTCTCAGCCAAGTCAAAGCCCAGCGTATTCTGCATCCAGCCGGCTCTGAGTTCTGCTGCAAGCTCTCCTGCCTTCTGCTACGGATTGGTGCCGAAACCCAGGAATTGGGGTAATTTCAAGGAGGGGCGAGGACCTTGTCCATTTAATTTGAATTGACCTTGGAATCGTGGTCTCCACTCAGCCCGCACCTATCCCGCTTCACCTCTCTCTCTTTCCCTCTCTTTCTAGCAACTCAAAGGACAAAAGGAAGACGACGACAGAAGCACCAAAGAAACTGCAGGAAAAGAGAAGAGAAGAAAAGGCCAGTCAAAAACCACGCACACATTGCAGACGTGGCCCTCCCGGTGGCATTTACACTTGTCCACGTAGGCTTAATGCCCCCTGAGGCGCCAGGGAAAAGGACCTCTCTGTAAACGGGGATCAAGGTCCACTCCTTGCCAAGAGAAATGCTTTCTGGGCCCATTCCGCACCTGCGGCTGAGTGACCGCCCTTTAAGAAGGGTTGAGGTCTCTGTGGATTTCGGCTCTTTAGGACCGCGCCTTTAACATGCCCTGTGCCACTGACCTCTCCCTGTAAGAAGGGTGCGGGTCTCCCCTTTCGAGCTTGTCTTGGGCCGCTGGCACTTGCTGGGCAAAGAGACCACCCTCTACTGAGGGAACGGAGGTCTCTCCTCTTCAGCGCTCTTGGCTCTGGCCCATTGAAATGTCCCTGGCTTAAGGACCACCCTGTAAGGAGGGTTTGGGTCTCCTTCGCCAGCCTTATTTAGCCACAGGTCCCCTTGACATGCCCGGCAAAATGACTGCCCTGTAACCGGGGTGTAAGGTCTTATCCCTCTCGTTCGTAAACAGGAGAGCCTCTTTGTGCCTGTGGCTGAGTGACCCCCCCTCTAAGAAGGGTCGAGGTCTCGGTGGATTTCAGCTCTTTAGGACCGCGCCTTTAACATGCCCTGTGCCACTGACCTCTCCCTGTAAGAAGGGTGCGGGTCTCCCCTTTCGAGCTTGTCTTGGGCCGCTGGCACTTGCTGGGCAAAGAGACCACCCTCTACTGAGGGAACGGAGGTCTCTCCTCTTCAGCGCTCTTGGCTCTGGCCCATTGAAATGTCCCTGGCTTAAGGACCGCCCTGTAAGGAGGGTTTGGGTCTCCTTCGCCATGCTTCGTTAGCCACAGGTCACTTTGACACGCCGGGCAAAAGGACTGCCCTGTAACCAGGGTGTAAGGTCTTATCCCTCTCCTTCGTAAACTAGGAGAGCCTCTTTGTGCCTGTGGCTGAGTGACCCCCCCTTTAAGAAGGGTTGAGGTTCTCGTTCTGTTAGTCGCAGTAAATTCCCCTAGAATGATTTCTGTTTGGCTTTTTTGGGCTTTGACGTGAAATCTGGTTTGTGACCCATGTATTTCTTCTCCGGGTCACATGTAACCTGGTGTGGCGAAGGGGCGGCTGTAAGGGGATGGTGGAGGCCGTGGAAAATTCGACCCTTCTTTCCCAGAGAGCCAAGAAATCGTCCCCAAATCCATATGTCACAAAGTCTGGAACTGAACAGGTGAGGAAGGGGGCTCCTTTCAGAGCCTCACTTCCAGGCGATCCTTCCTCATTTCCTCTTGCCCTGCCCAATTTACACTGCCCAGTCAACCTCAGCTTTGAGCCCTTGTTTTATTCGGCACAAGAAAGACATTGCTGGACGGACTAGTGTGAATCGTATAGAGTCGGAGAGCTCTGCAAGTTGTGTCCGAATTCCAGGCCTTTTGTTTCTTTGGTGATAGACCGAGGCTATTCCTAGGGCTATGTTTGAAGTGAGGGATGTGGCTGTCCTTTCGGAAATGTGGTGATGCTCAGCTGGTGTAGGTACGTGGAGTGGTATTCAGAGCTTGCACGTGGGTGCACCTAACCCTATTAACAGGACTGTGTCCAAGTAAGGGGTGTCCTTTTTGGTCAAGGTTAGGGGGCACAAAGTTGAAATTTTCTTGGTGGGGGAGAAAGGTAAGTCGGGAAGGGTGTTGCCGAGGGATGGAGGATTTAATGGTAATGGGAGACTCAGCGGGATTCCTCCCTCACCTGTTCATTTCCAGATGTTTTCACATGGGGGACTTCCCCCGACCCCGTGCTTCTTTAAAGGAGGAATATGTTTCTAAAGAAAGGGTGACCGCCCTGTACTCAGGGATCAGGTCTGTTTCCCTTTTCTCCTCTCTGCATTGGCCCTCTGAATGCCAAAGTCACTTGCTGGGCAAAGAGACCCCCCTCTACCGAGGGAATGGAGGTCTCTCCTTGTCCGCCCGCTTGGCTACGGCCCTCTGTCATGCCCCTGGCTTAAGGACCACCCTGTAAGGAGGGTTTGGGTCTCCTTCGCCATGCTTATGTAGCCACAGGTCACTTTGACACGCCGGGCAAAAGGACTGCCCTGTAACCAGGCTGCAAGGTCTTATCCCTCTCATTCTTAAACTAGGAGAGCCTTTCTTCTTGCCTGTGGCTGAGTGACCCCCCCTCTAAGAAGGGTCGAGGTCTCTCTGGCTCTCTCTTATTTAGGACCCAGGCTTTACAATGCCCTGTGCCATTGACCTCTCCCTGTAAGGAGGGTGCAGGTCTCCCCTTTCGAGCTTGTCTTGGGCCGCTGGCACTTGCTGGGCAAAGAGACCACCCTCTACTGAGGGAATGGAGGTCTCTCCTCGTCAGCGCTCTTAGGCTCTGGCCCATTGAAATGTCCCTGGCTTAAGGACCACCCTGTAAGGAGGGTTTGGGTCTCCTTCGCCATGCTTAGTTAGCCACAGGTCACTTTGACACGCCAGGCAAAAGGACTGCCCTGTAACCAGGGTGTAAGGTCTTATCCCTCTCCTTCGTAAACTAGGAGAGCCTCTTTGTGCCTGTGGCTGAGTGACCCCCCTTTAAGAAGGGTTGAGGTTCTCGTTCTGCTGGTCACAGTAAATTGCACTCGAATGATTTCTACTTGGCTTTTCTGGGTTCTGAAGTGAAATCTGATTTGTGTCCTATGTATTTCCTGTCCGGGTCACATGTCACCTGGTGTGGCGAAGGGGCGGCTGTAAGGGGATGGTGGAGGCCGTGAAAAATTCAACCCTTTCTTCAAAAAAGCCAAGAAATCACCAAAGTCCAAAGTGAGCTCCCTCTAACTAGGGTGCAGGTCTTTCCCCAGATTACACTCCCCTTTGAAAGGTAGTTCTAGAAACCAGCCTCTTGAGAGAGTTAAGGGTTTGCCCTTGTAGCTGTCCTGTGCCCGTGGCCTCCTCACGCTCTCAGCCAAGTCAAAGCCCAGCGTATTCTGCATCCAGCCGGCTCTGAGTTCTGCTGCAAGCTCTCCTGCCTTCTGCTACGGATTGGTGCCGAAACCCAGGAATTGGGGTAATTTCAAGGAGGGGCGAGGACCTTGTCCATTTAATTTGAATTGACCTTGGAATCGTGGTCTCCACTCAGCCCGCACCTATCCCGCTTCACCTCTCTCTCTTTCCCTCTCTTTCTAGCAACTCAAAGGACAAAAGGAAGACGACGACAGAAGCACCAAAGAAACTGCAGGAAAAGAGAAGAGAAGAAAAGGCCAGTCAAAAACCACGCACACATTGCAGACGTGGCCCTCCCGGTGGCATTTACACTTGTCCACGTAGGCTTAATGCCCCCTGAGGCGCCAGGGAAAAGGACCTCTCTGTAAACGGGGATCAAGGTCCACTCCTTGCCAAGAGAAATGCTTTCTGGGCCCATTCCGCACCTGCGGCTGAGTGACCGCCCTTTAAGAAGGGTTGAGGTCTCTGTGGATTTCGGCTCTTTAGGACCGCGCCTTTAACATGCCCTGTGCCACTGACCTCTCCCTGTAAGAAGGGTGCGGGTCTCCCCTTTCGAGCTTGTCTTGGGCCGCTGGCACTTGCTGGGCAAAGAGACCACCCTCTACTGAGGGAACGGAGGTCTCTCCTCTTCAGCGCTCTTGGCTCTGGCCCATTGAAATGTCCCTGGCTTAAGGACCACCCTGTAAGGAGGGTTTGGGTCTCCTTCGCCAGCCTTATTTAGCCACAGGTCCCCTTGACATGCCCGGCAAAATGACTGCCCTGTAACCGGGGTGTAAGGTCTTATCCCTCTCGTTCGTAAACAGGAGAGCCTCTTTGTGCCTGTGGCTGAGTGACCCCCCCTCTAAGAAGGGTCGAGGTCTCGGTGGATTTCAGCTCTTTAGGACCGCGCCTTTAACATGCCCTGTGCCACTGACCTCTCCCTGTAAGAAGGGTGCGGGTCTCCCCTTTCGAGCTTGTCTTGGGCCGCTGGCACTTGCTGGGCAAAGAGACCACCCTCTACTGAGGGAACGGAGGTCTCTCCTCTTCAGCGCTCTTGGCTCTGGCCCATTGAAATGTCCCTGGCTTAAGGACCGCCCTGTAAGGAGGGTTTGGGTCTCCTTCGCCATGCTTCGTTAGCCACAGGTCACTTTGACACGCCGGGCAAAGG